CCCACACAAGTGATATTTTGGCCTAGGAAAAGGACAGGACAGATGACTTCCTTCTTCTACCCTGAGTCACGCTTTCCTGGTCATTTGGCAATGAAAGAGAAAAGTCAGTGGGGGGCCCCAGGAGTTTTGATTTCCCACCAGTATTAAACCCCAAAGCCAGCTGAGAGAGAGGGCATGTGGGGACAGAATTCCCCCTGGGGCCAACTTGTCCAAAACAGGCAGGCAAACTGTGAAATCATAGGGAGAAGAAGGTGGGGCATCCAGGAGTGTGCTGGGAGAAATAGCCGTGGGAGGAGCAGTCTCAGAGGGTGCCCAGCGCTGTCAGAGCAGATCCCAGCCCCAGCAGTAGCTGCACGTCTGATTGCTTCAAAGGCCCTTGGCCTGTAACTCAGAGGAGCCACTTGGCCAAGTGAACTGGGCTCCTGCTCTGTGCCAGGCCCTGGGCTGGGTACCAGGAGTGCCGGGACAAAGAAGGCCAAGCCCTGCTCTCACAGAGCTCCAGCACCAAGGAGAAACAGATGTGTGACCCACCGACTAAACCGAATGCTGATGTGCCCCCTAGAGGAGGCAGCAGTTGTCTTTGTATAGAGGAGTGAGAGTTCAGCAGGCAGAACTGGAAGAGGGAGGCCTGGGACCACAATGTGCGTTCAGGGAGGCGGGGAGTGGTGTGACCAGAGCCCAGTACAGGGACTTGGATGGGGTGACAAGAAGATGCTCACGGAGCAGGAGCCTGCGGGCTTTCTGAGGTACAGAATCCTGAAGGCAACGTAACAGTTCATCTTCATAGTTAGAAAATTGCTACACACTTGCACTTGTTAAAAAAAATTCAAGCAGTGCAGCAGTGTAAAGGAAAAGCTTCCTCAGTACCACTCCTTGGAAGTAACCCAGTTAGCTGTTTGGTGTGTAACCTTCCAGAACTTTTGCTGTGTGTATACAAACATATTGTGTGCGCCAGTATGTATATCCATAGGTAAAATTTATTTTTATATAAATAGGATTTTACAGCACACAATGCTGTGCAAGTTGCTTTCTTTTTCTCTCTGTTTACAGTGTCTTGGTCATTTTCCCATGTCAGTCCATGTGGCTCCACCTCATTGTTCTGTGGCAGGGGGGGTGGGTAATTCATGTCCATGGTGTAGAGTTCCAGAGGAACAAGGCTGCACAGTGAGCCTTCCAACCCCATGGCCCAGGTTCCCTCTGCAGAGGCAGCCCCTGGTTCCTCTTTCTTGGATAACCAGCCAAGAGATTCTGTGCTTTTACAGATAAACATATGCTTTTCCCCATTTTTGCTATATAACTATCATATTTTGTTATATACGTGTAGACACTCTTTTTTTGCACCTTGCTGTTTTTCACCAAATATATGTGGGAGATAAATACGTCCGTTCCTATGGAGTGGTGGTGTTCTTTGTCAGCTGTATGAGGTCCCACCTGGACCGCACAGTGTATGTAGAGCAGAGGTTCTCAAAGTGTGATCCCTGCCCAACCGCATCAGCATCACCTGGTACTTGTGAGAAATGCAAATTCTGAACGAAACTCGAGGTGGGCCTAGCAGTCTGTTTTCACGAGCCGTCCTGGTGTTTCTGATGTACGCTCGCTCAAGTGTGAGAACCTCTGGCTCAGAGTCCTCCGATGGGTCACTTGGCTTGTGTCAGGCTTTCGCTGTTGCACGCCATGCTGAAATTAAGCTCTTTGTACATTTGTTATTTCACACTCGCCTGTGTATTTGTAGAATAAATTCCTTGAAATTGATTTGCTGGGTCAAAGGCTATGTGAGTGTTTTAACTTGACCGAGTTATCCACCAAAGGGGTTATATCAGCTTACACTCCTACCAGCAGTGACTTCGAGTCCTGTGTTATGGCTGTTTAGTAGTCCACCTTCCAGAGGTTTTTGAGCAGGTAAGTGATACAGTCAGGTCTAGGCTTCAGAAAGCAGTCCTGGGAGGGCGGTGGAAGGCAGGAGAGAGAAAGGAAAGAGGCTGGCTGGTGAGGTGGTTGTGTGAAGACTGCAGTGAGGGGGTGGGGAGCAAAGGATTGGGGTGCAGGGTTAGTTCAGAAAATGCATAGGAAGCAGAATTGGGGCAAGGTGAATGAGTGAAAGTATGGTAAGGAAAGGGGACCCTAGGGTCTCCAGCTGGAGTGACAGAGTAACAGAATGGTCCATGAATTCCAGCGCGTTTCTAGGGCATGGCCTGGAAGCAGTACTCCCAGAGCTTGAGGCGAGCCTATGGCTCCAAGCTGGGCATCTGTCTTCCTTCACTGCCTTTGCTTCCGCCCTGATAACGGAACATCTAGAATATCACTGGAAGCTAAATTTATTTCTGCTATTTGTGTCAGCTTCCCCCCACCCCTTCCCTCTCTAATTATATTTTGTGTTTCAGGAGCTATTGCATTTGCATAGGAGTATCTGGTTTTAAAAAAAAAAATCCAAATTGAATTAGTAGAGAATCCTAACAACATTTAGTATTTTTGTAACTACGAAGGTTAACTGTTCTGTTGCCATCAGGAGTCTGTTCCTCAGAAAGGTGTCAGGCTCCCTGAGTATCTTGTCACAACTTTCCAGCAGAAATTTCCAGCTAGGAAAGGTAGAGGGCATCGAGGGAGCAATAGCCAGGAGTTTGGGCCTTACCAGACGGCTTCAGTGTCAGTCCTGGCTCCGCCACTTGCCAGCTATGTGACCTTAAAACACGTTACTTCACCTCTCTGAGCCTCAGTTTCCTCATCTACAAAATGGAGCTATTAAAAGTACCTGCTTCGTAGGGTTTTTGTGAGGATGAAATCATGTAAAGCACCTAGAGCAGTGCTTGAGCCCTAGAGAGCTCTTGGTAAATGTTATCCTTATACATTTTTTTGTAGTAATGTCAGTTATTAATGTTAACTGTCCGATTTCAAGTCTCCCATTCTGACTCAACATTAGGGCATGGGATATTTATAACAATCACCCACAGAGGAGACCTGACTCCCCTCTATGATGTAGCATCTGTCCAACCTTGGTGTGTCATCAAATAATATTAAGCATCTTCCTGCCTGGGTTACTGGGCTGAAGGGAAAGGAATACATGGAAATGAGCCCTCACACGGGTTTGTAAGTGAAGCCAGAGTCCCCTGTGCACTCCCACACCAGTGTGCTTGGCCTTCAGGGTCTTCCTTAAGTGACGTCTGCTCCAGCCACCTCTGACACTCCCCTACTTCCCTGCAGAAGTGGTGTCCTGTCTACTTTCACATGATTCCATCATGCATAATAATATAAATCGTTTATACAGCTTGACTGACATGTTCAAGGCACAGCACTAAGTACTTCCAGTGCAAAAACCAGACTCCTCACACTCATCACAGCTGAGGAAACTGAGGCTCTGAGAGAGAGAACTCCCTAGGTCCTACAGTTAGAAAGAAGCCCAGCTGGGTGGCAGACTGGACTTTCTGACATCAGAGCCCTCTCAACCATTTGGCACTCGAGCTGTGTATCACACCAGTATACATATCTTATTTTGCCGCATGTCACACTGTATTGTGATATTTTATTTACATGTCAAGGTCGTGGCCCACCTGCCTGTGAGCTCTTCGAGGTCAGGAGCTAGTATATTGGTGTGTGTGTGCGCATGTGCGCACGCACGCACTCACACTACTGCTACCCAGGAAACATTGAATTTGTGGAGGTACCCAGAGGGGGTGAGAAACTTGCCCAAGCCCCTCAGCACACTGCTGCCAAAAGCAGAAACCAATTGCTGGGAGAGAAGAGGAAAGGAAAATAACCCTGCCTCACAGTGTCAGTGTTGCTCAGCCACCCCATCGCCACCTCCCAGCAAAGCTGCCAGAGAGTGACTCACACAGAGCTGGCTCTGAGAGCTCCCGAGAGAGTGTCTACCTTCCGGCCCTGTGGCTGGGCCACCTCCGCTCTGCATATGTGGGGGTTTGGTGAAGGGCCTCCCTGATAATCACAGCTCCTCATGCTGTCACAGTTTGTCGGGCTCTTTCACATCTCATATCTCGTTAGATTTAAGCCTCTTGTCCCTTTTAGAGGTAAGGAAAGCTAAAGATTGTCACCTGTTTGACAGATGAGTAAATAATTTGTCTCGGTCACCCAGTCAGCCAGTAAGAGAGCAGTGAATACCATGGCTATACGTTATATGCATCGTTTTGCACATATGTGAATTACATCTATAGGGAAAATTCCCAGAAGTGGTATTGCTTGGTCATAGGGTATGTGCATTTGTGATCTGGACAGGTACTGTCAACATGCTGTCTACAGCAAGGCCAATAACCCTCATGTTGGTGTGGGCCAGCACCTGTCTCCCCTCAGCCTCGCCAGCTCAGTATGTTATCAAACATGAATTTTTACCATTCTGATGAAAAATGGCATCTCAGTGTACCGTAATTTGAGCTTCTCTTGTTAAGAGTGAAGAGGAACATTTTTCCTGTGGTTAAGAGCCACTTGTCATTCCTGTTCTGTGAATCTTTGTGTCTTGGGTATGTGCAAGTTATGATTTGATGCACCTGCCAAGCTGCCCGGCCCCTCCCAAAAGGCTGGACCAGGCTGTACACAAACCGATGGTGTTTAAGCATCCCGGTTCCCCGCCTGTCCATCTCCTAGTGGTCGTTTCGTGGGCTCGCTGCTCTATGCCGCATCTCCTTCCCCTGCTGCAGCCTTCCCTGTTAGGGTACAAGGGCCTCCCTGTTCCAAAATCTACCTCTCCAGGCAGCTTCCCCCCTAGCTTGTTCTTTCCTGTTGGTTTTTCAGAGGCAACTGTGAGCCAAAATATTAATGAGATGCTGCGGCTGACCATGATCGCTTCTCCCAGGGATGCCGGTGCCTTATTCACAGGATGGACTGGATGGGGGCATCTCGGGCGCTGTGATAGCCTTTGGGTCTTGTGGAGAGAACTTCCCTTTGGCAAGAGCAGACGTCTAATCTGGCATTGCTCTACTTTCAGTAGCTGTAACATGAAACAGAATTAGACATATAAAATGCAGTGAGGACTGCAGTTGGGGAGTGGGCTTATCCCAGTGGGGAACCTGGAAAAGCTTCATGGCAGTGACGACTGCTGGGTCCTTGAGGACAGGATTTCGCCTAGGGCGTGGAGAGCATCATGATCCTGAACGCTTTTCACTTTGTGTTTTTAATATAAATTTAAATCAGACTTATGCTACTATTGATGGATTTTCAATAGAATGTCTTTTGGTATGAATTCTGTGAAGCCATTTAATTCCTGTGTTGCACTGTTATTCCATTTCCAATTTTTTCCATTTTTATAATACTGAAATTATTTTGATTGCATTCTGTTCTTTTTCATGTAAATATTTATTCTCTGTCAGATCACACTCTTGCCAACTATAGCATCTGCCATTGTAAATTTAATCGTGGCTTTCACTCTTACCAGATTTCAGCTTTCCCAAATTTCTCAAGTTTAAGTTTTGTCAAGATTTGCTTTTCCTTGTGGCTCATGTCTTCCCATGTGTGGGTTCAGCTATTGTCAGTTTTGTTTGTCATTGTTTTAATTCCACTCAAAGTTTACTACCTGCTGGATAACAGATTAATCATATTTTCCCGTTTGCTAATCCATAAGAAAATTGGAAATAGTCTAGAACAACTTTATTGTCACCAGTTCCCAGAGTTTTATCTTTCATTTATTACATACTGTGTGCCTGCCTCTGCCATAGCTCTTCTCCCCAGATATGCCATATGTGCACAGGGTCCTCCCAGGACTATCCCTGCCAGGGTCCAGATCTCCTCAATGGCAAAATAGTGGGTTCAGAGCATCTTGCCCCAGGATGGCTGGGCAGCACCCCTGGCCGAGGGAACAACATTAACAAATCCTCAAGTCAGCAAAATATGGAAACCCTGAGGCACCTAAATGAACCAGGGCAGAGAGGAAGACAGTGAGTGGGCTACTAGAACACCAAATTCTCACCAGTGTCCAGCCCTTGGAGGCCAGAACCACACCGCTGCTCAGTCAGCACCTTTGTTCTCTCCTGCAGAATGCTTCGGACATGCCCGAGACGATCACCAGCCGGGACGCCGCCCGGTTCCCCATCATAGCCAGCTGCACGCTCTTGGGGCTCTACCTCTTTTTCAAAGTAAGTCCTTTGCCACCTGTTGTGTCATTTTGTTCCAATAACCTTATTTTATTTTGTTGCCATTTTTCCCATCACAGGTTACATGCATGTTCATTTATGGAAAATAAAGAACAGGGGAAAAAATCATAATCATTCACTCCTAGACCCATTACCAGAGACAACCACTATTGGTGTTCGGAGCTTTTCTCCGTGGAGCTTTTTGTTTTGTTTTCATAATACCCGTTTGGTTTCATTGTATGGTTTGTATTGGGATGGGTATAGCTGATGTCTCCAGACATACCTCCGCCATACTAATTGCTTTTTTTTTTTTTTTTAATTTATCGAGGTTTATTTTCCCAATAAAAGTTACACAGGCTCAGTGTTGAAAACCTGGAAAGCACAGAAAAGTAAAAAGGGAAAAACAGCAGTCATCCAAAACCCCACTACCAGAGACAGTCACAGAGTCCCCTTGGAGGTGTGTCCTTCCGCTCTTCTCCCTGTGCATGGTTTTGCTATAGCTGTGACCACGTGCTATATTCGGTTTCAAAGCTGCTTTTTTCACTCCACATTATTAACATCATAAGCATTGTCTCATGTTAATGCAAACTCTCCTTAAACTTTTTTAAAAATCTAACATGTGCTATTTTCTAATTATAAAGGTAATATAAACAGAAAACTTAAAAGGGAGGGGAAATTCTCAAGAGAGGGAAAAATACACAGAGGTAATCCCTATCAACATTTTGGCATATCTCCTTTCAGGCTTCTAATAAGCATATTTTTAACATAATTATCACTATGATAGTGTTGTGTCCTTTTTTTTTTTTTTTTTTGGATAGTATAATACATCCCAAGTGCTTTTTTTCCTGGCCATTGAAAATTCCTCAAGGACAACCTTTGATTTACATTTAAAAAATACCATGTACATGGTTACAATTTTTTTCAATCTATGGGAAGGTACAAATGAGCCATAATCCTCTCCCCAGTATAGTTTCTTGTGAATCTTTCTTTTATGCATAGATCTACATTTATGTTAAAATTTAAAAATAAATACATGTCCCAAACATACGATTCTTACCATGGAGGTATTTTTGTATCGACGCAGTCAAATCTGCCTCATTCTTTTTTAATAGCTGCTCATGGTTCTGTTTTACAGATGTGCCCTGAGGGGTATTTAATGCTGGGGCATCACAGCGGTGCTTCTGATAACATCTTTGTTCACATATCTTGGCATGGGCACATATTTTCAAATATATCTGTAGTGGGATTCCCAGGTCAAATAGCACCTCCATTTGTAATCTGGACAAATAGTGCCACATCCCCTCTAACAGTCACGAGTGTGCTGGCTTCCCTATACGCTTACCTGCATTGCATATCATCCAAATTTGTTATTTTTACCAGCCTGTGAGTGAGTCGAAAACATTATTGCTAACATCTGTTTCCTGTTCCATTGCTCCCTCATTGTTGGATCAGAACTACTCTTTTTAATGGCGTGAGGATATCCCCTTAAGCAGATATACCACAACTGACTGACAGCCTCCCCCCTTCACTTTAAACAGAAAAAAATCATTCTGATTTTTACCTTTATAAATTAAGAGTACATCAGATAAACATAAGTAATCACTTGTTTTTTTTTTTTTTCTGGACCTTGGGTGAAGAGTTGAATTTATCAAATGCTTTGGTTCATGGCACACCATCATCAGTCCATGCCAGGACCTCCTCTTTGTTTTTCCCCCCTCCACCCCTGATGCCCAACTCCATTTCCCTCTCTGCCAGAGGCACCTGCTCTAATGATTTAATTTATGTTCTTAGATATGTGTCTCCTTATAAAACCTATGGTGTTGGTGCATCTGTGTGTATTGAGTGAGAGTCTACTTCCCATAAATAGAATTGTGCAATACATCTCCCTCTGTTTCCTTTTCCTTTCCTCTGTACTGTTGAGATCTCTCTGTGGTTCTGTGTACATCAAGCCCACTACCTCTGACTTGGTTTTTTGCATCTGTTTCTCAAGTCTCTGCTGTGCTGAGTGCCAGGAATACACACCCAGACCCTTGCCTCAAGACCTCCTAACACTTAGTATTTAGAATTCTTTCCTTAGGCTAGATTCCACAGAAAGGAATTTCTGGCAGCAGAGGGCACGCACATTTTTACTGAAGGCACTGGGTGCCTGTAGCTCAGCCTGTCTTCCTCTCCTGACAGGTAAGCCCCAGCCGGCTTTGTGCCAGAAGGCACAGCGTACCCCTTGCCCAAGTTGACATTTCTTCTGGAGGCAGCTGCCTGGACAAACAGCCACCAGATTCCTCCCAAACTCCAGACTGACAACTGGTTAGTTGGCTTACTCGACAGTGGCTGTCATTCAGTCCCTTTCCTCCTCTGAGGCAATGGAGATTATAACATTTCTCAAAATCATCAAGTTTGCTTTATCCCACCATATCTAAAACTGATTGCTTTAAGGCAGCTTATAAAACTTTCTAGCAGCCAGAGCACAAAGAAAGCAAGACTTGGTACACAAGTCCCAGCCCACACAGGCAAGCCAGCCAGAAGCTGAAAGGTGCAGCCAGAGAGAAGTTTTTCCCGAGGGCCCACGTTGAAAGAACACTATGTGAGCCGGACACCACATGATCTTAAGGAGAACACAATCCACATGCCTATGTTCACAGGTCTTTTCTTACAGCATTCACGTTAGAGACCGCTGATTTGCTCATCCATTCCCCCAATCTATTGATATTTATGCAGTGCCTGCTATGCACCAGGCCCTCTGCTGGATGCTGGGGACACCAGAGTGAGAAAAACCCATCCTCGAGCTTCCTATTAAGCATTGGAGACAGACACTCATTAAATAATCATGTAGGTGAGTGTAAAGCTACAGCCCTAGGAAGTGCTCTGAAGGCAAGGTCTGTAGCACCACGAAAGCAAAGAATCAGCCTGGAGTGAACCCCTGCTCCTGCCAAGGCCCCCATCTTAGACAGCAGCGCCTCCACCCATCTCGCTACTCAGCCAAAAACCCCGGGAGTCATCCCGCTCCCTGTTCCTTCTCAGCCCTCATTCATAGCCAGCCCCTCGGCAAATCCTGCATCTCCAGTTCCAGGACAGATGTGGGATCTGACCACTGATCATCACCTCCCACCCTCCCTCCCAGCCCAGGTCACCGTCCTCCCTCCTCTGGATTATGCAGTGCCCACCTCACTGGACTCTGCTCCCACTTTTACCCTGTAGAACTTGTCTTGCACACAGCAGCAGAGGCCATCACATCATAGCCCTGCCCTCAGCTCTCCAATTCCCGCCTTTTCACCAAATGAAACTAAAGCCTTTCACAGTGCTGCAGGGTCTGTCTCCCTCCTGCCTCCCCAGCCTCATCTCCTGACACTTACTTCCTCAGCTCCAGGCTCCGGCTCTCACTGTTCCCTGCATAGATAAGCATGTGCCTACCTCAGGGACTTTGCACTTGCCCTTCTCTCTGCCTCAAATGTTCTTCCCCCAAATATCCTCACAGCTGCCCCCTTCGTTAAGGATCCAACTCCTAAACGAAGTGAAGGTCATCCTGTTGGGGGTTTTCCCTGGCCACCTGTCTAAGTAGCAGCTCTCCCCACTTCTCTCTCCATCTCCTTGCCCTGCTTTGCTTTTCTTCTTGGCTCCCATCACCACCTGATGATATATTACATATTCATATCTTTTGAGATTCTTTCTCCCTTGCTGTCACATGCCCTCTGCCTTATTCCTCGCTGTGTCCCCAGTGGTTGGCACAACATCCTGCCTGTCATAGGCAGTCAGTAAACATGAGCTGAATTAACGAGGGCGCGATCACGCCAAGGAAAGCTGCTCTGAGCTGAGAGCAGGAAAAGGATGAGTTGGGTTGGCCTGTGTGAAGAGAGCAGAGCGTCCAGGCAGCAGAAGAGCGTGAGCACAGACTGCCCGGGGTGGGAATGTGACACCAATCAGACTGCCAAGAGGCCAGTGCGGCCGCAGCATGTAGCCGAGAATAGGCATGGCGTGAGCCGTGCTGCTGAGGAGGTCTGCCATGAGGGCCCGAGAGGCCACGTTGAGGATATGGGCCTCGAGCGCTGAGATCAGGGAAGCCGCTGAGAGGCATTAAGCAGGGGAGCGACATGATCAGACAGAAAAGGTTCCAGGTTCCAGGACAGCCCAGTGTCCCTGTGGCCCACACAACAGCACGTTGCCTCCCAGTCAGAGACCGTCACAGTGACGGATTCACATGATGCAGTGAATGTGGAGCAACATGGCAGAGCCTTCCCAAGTCCAGCGTTAACATGTGACAGTTGGCTTCAAAGCACCATGAGAGAGAATGTTCTCAGTTTCACTTAACATCGTAAAGCAGCTGTCAGGGCCCGCGGTCAAAACTTGCCGCCATCACCATGGGAGGAGTTGTTCAGAAGAGCATTAAGTGGAGCGGGGCGCAGATGACTTGTAACCAGTGTTCTTGGGGCCTTGGTGGGCGGTGGGGGGCTCCCTAGAGCAGTGAGAAGGAAACTTGAAAGCGTGTATTCTGAGGTTCAAACGGCGCTCTTGGGACTCTGAACTTCAGACTCCCCTCCCCCACGATCCCCATGCAGGACCCTGGGCACAAACATAGCATTGTCTGTCTCCAGGTCACGGAGCCACCAAGAGCAAACCCACAGACTCCTTTGGGAGGTGCATCTGGCAGCTCGAGGTTCCTCTCTTTTTCCCCATAGCCACACAAACTGGAAGACTCGTAGAGCTGTCAGAGAGTCTTCCTGACACTGTTTCCCAACTCCAGAGGGGTGCGACCAACCTCCAGAAGAGAAGCGGGAACTCTGGCTTCCTCGCCGCCTCCAGCAACCCTGACTTCCTGTTTCTCTTTGTATTTCTGCCTCAGATATTCTCCCAGGAGTACATCAACCTCTTGCTGTCCATGTATTTCTTCGTGCTGGGAATCCTGGCCCTGTCCCACACCATCAGGTCAGAAGGCATCTCTGCAGCCTTTGAAGCAGCTTTCTCAGGAGCCAGTACAGGGTCTTGGATGAGAACATGACCTTTGGCGTCATTCAGAGCCAGGTTTGAATCCTGGCTGCAAAACCCAAGAGATTCTCCCCCCTGTGTCACACCATCGGTGACCAGGGATAAGAACTGTAACCTGTCTGGGCCACAGTTTCTTTACAGGGGCTGACGAGAGTATTCAGCCTAAGAGTAACCTGGTTGTTGGGAAAGTAGTATTTGTGAACAGTAACATCATGTTACTTGTCACAGTACTGAGCTGAGTAACACCAGAATTTCCCATCAGGTGTTGTAGCCTGTTGCGCCAAACACTAAATAAGCGAGGCGCTTCACACGTGATCTTATTCCATAACGAGAGGGGCAGTGTAGAGAGGCGGTAGGAGTGCAGGCTCTGGAATTTTACTACCTGACTTTGAATCCAGACTCTGCCACTTAATAGCCCTGTGACTTTGGGCAAGTTACTTAATCTCTCTGGCCTCAATTTCCTCACCTGAATGTCAAGGAAAACATGAGTACCTTCCTCATGGGTCATGTGGGAAGCCTTTAGCACAGTTATCTGCCACTTAATGTGCTCAGGAACCGCTAATTGTTGTTATTATTATTATTGTTGTTGTTGTTGTGTTAACCTGCCAGATAACCTTATTTGGTTAACTTTTGCTTTTAATCCTGGTTACATTTGGAAACTGAAGCCCAGAAAGGTTAAGAAATTTGCTAGGATCACACAGCTGATAAGCAGCAGAGCCAAGATTCAAATCCAGGTCTGTGTGGCCCCAAAGCTCATTTTCTTCCCAGTGCCACCTGCTCAGATTGCCACGTGCTTGTGTCAGTTCAGTGGGGCTGGAGGACCTAGACCAGTGACCCTCAGGTGGGGCTGCCGTTGGCGTTTTGGACATGCCAGTTCTCTGTGCATGTAAACATTTGGCACCCCTAGCCCTCTTACCAAATGGGAGTTGTGCCCCCGGCTCTTCCCCCAGCTTGTGACTACAGAAGCGTTCCCATCTGTGTTCCTCTGGCCCCATGAGCTGGTCCAGCCTCAGGCAAAGAACACTGATAAATCATGAGGTGGCCAGCAGACCAGGGGAAGTTCCCAGAAGGAACACAACTTGAACTCAGCTTGGAAAGGTAGGCAACCTGGATGAGGTGCAAAGGAGGAAGAGGCCAGGCCAGGAGCTGAAAGGCCTGTGCAGTGAGCGCACAGTCAGGATCTTCCCAGAGCAGTTAGGGAGAAAGCAGGATCTGCTCATAAGGACACTGAAAGCCAAGGTGAGTTTGGCCTCGTTACGCTAGGCCAGGGGTCGGCAAACTTTTGAGACGGAACATAACCCAAAGAGTCGCATGTGGCTCGCGAGCCGCAGTTTGCTGACCGTTGGTTTAGGCACACTGGCAGGACAGCGTGTAGTCAGGAATGTGAACTCGAGAGGCAGACGGCCCTGGCACCAACGCCTGGCTCTGCCAGCTCCATAATTTGTGTAAGCTACTCAAGCTGTCTGAGCACCATTCCTTCACCTATACCAGGGGTCAGCAAACTGCAGCTCGCGAGCCACATGCGACTCTCTGAGTACATTCCGTCTCAAAATTTTGCCGACCCTTGGAAGTGCCAGTCCTATTCCTCACAACAATTTAAAAATTATTCCAGAGCCATAAATATGTTTTTACAAATAAAGAAAATTTAAAGTAACACTATAAATGAAACTATGATAGTCGTATTTTCATTTTCAATTTTAGTTCAGAGCCACGTGTACGTACCCAAAGAGCCACATGTGGCTCACGAGCCGCAGTTTGCCGACCCCTGGCGGCTCTTCTGTCTCAAAAGTTTGCTGCCCCCGACCTATAAGATGGAAACACTCCGAGTACCTCCTGGTAGGGACATGGGACCGATCAAGTGAGCCACATCTCTGACTTGCCCCAAAGCACAGTGCCAAGTGCACTGTAAACGAGGTCACAGCCTGAGGTCACAGCTGGGACTTGAACTATGGGCTTTTGATTGAGTTCAGTGTTGTTGTTCAACTATACCTACCTTCACCCACAAAATCTTGGTCTAGCCACCTTGGGAGAATTCTAGTCCAGCCCCCATCCCCAAAAAAGTGAAGACCCATAGAACCTGAGTAACTTGGACCTAGCAAGATAGTGGCAGACCCAGTCACCCTTTCTCGAAGAACAGACCTCTCCCTCCCTAATGGACCCAAGCGGGGGGAGGGCAGTCACTGCCAGGGTCCCTCCTTTCCCAGGCTGATTAGGATCCTCCCAATTCTCAGACATCACACCCCAGCATCTGTGAAAGGTTTGAGACCGCCCAGCCCTCCCCACAGCCCAACCACCATCACAGTGAGAGAACCCAATTTATTTTGAAAGCCACTGGTAGGACATGTGCTGAGGAAGTGATTACAGTAATACCTTGGTTTGCAAGCATAATTCGTTCCAGAAACAAACTACTCGTATTGCAAGACATCGCTCGTTTACCACGTTAAAATGTATTAGAAATGTTTGCTCGTCTTGTGGAACACTCGCAAACCAAGTTACTCACAATCCAAGGTTATACTGTATTTCACTTTTATCTCAGTAACCCTACAAGAGAGATCTCCATCCAACTGCCCAAGCAGAAGATTTGTGAATCTGTATCGTTTTGACAGGTTCCTCTATTTTTCCCTTTAGAACAATAACTGAGGAACATTGCCCCAAATTTGTCATGGGTTAGCCAAGAAACAATTATCCATGTCTTTTAATGACTTCGTAAGTTTTACTGATAGAAATTATCAACAGAAAATAGAACCAAGAGCAGCTAAAACTGCACATGGTAAAATTTGTGAGTGACTGAAAATTATCAGAAGAATCACTTTCTTGGTAAAATTTAGAGCACAGAATTTGACCTGGGAAGATTAGACCTTAAAAATAATGGATGGCCATGGGCAGAAGAGGGGCTTACCATCCAGGGTCAAAGCTATGCTCTGAAAAATATGATATGGACCAAAAACTGGGATGAATGAAATCATTATTGTAAAATTTACGTGGAAAAGAACTGAATTGGCTGTAAATAGTTTAAGTAAAAACAGGGAGGAAGGGCATAATTTAATCATGCTATTTAGAAAGTTGTTCAAGAATTAAATTTACTTTTCTTTTTCAATCAAATTGAGTTTTTGAAGTACTTTCTCAAAGTCTACAGTGTTGTTAGAATTTTGGNCTCTGAAAAATATGATATGGACCAAAAACTGGGATGAATGAAATCATTATTGTAAAATTTACGTGGAAAAGAACTGAATTGGCTGTAAATAGTTTAAGTAAAAACGGGGAGGAAGGGCATAATTTAATCATGCTATTTAGAAAGTTGTTCAAGAATTAAATTTACTTTTCTTTTTCAATCAAATTGAGTTTTTGAAGTACTTTCTCAAAGTCTACAGTGTTGTTAGAATTTTGGTGAGCTGTTTATATCCACAAACTTAGAGTCAGCCCTTCCTCAGGATCCAACAACAAGGTCTAAAGGTTTGAGACAGGGAAACTGAGGCTCAGAGGGGTCAATATGACCACCAGGATTCACAGCTGGTAGGAGTAAAAAGTAAAGTTTTGAGCCCGGGACTGTCTGACTTCATGGCCAATATTTTTTCTAGTTTTGGCAAAAGCGAAGGGGAAGAGAAAGCTTAAAGAGGGTGAGCTGGCAGCCCTCTCCGAGTGGGCCTGAGGGCTCCTGAGGATTGACAGAGGAGAGGCCTCTTGGAAGGCGGTAAGGCCTGAGCCCCAGACCTCGTCAGCCCCAGGGCTTGTGGGATTCCTTCACCCCCACCACCATACCCCAGCCTCTGGGGAGAAACCGCAGCTTGGAGTGTTGGGGTCAGGCAGGGGCTGCAGCCTGCCTTTACATCGCCTTCACCAAGATTCGAGCCCGTGCCAGAATCCTTCCTGCCAAGGAACCACAGCCTATTTTTATCACCTGTGAGCTCACACCCCACCCAGTTGACCTTCAGAGGAAAAAAAGCCCTTAAGGCCAAAATTTGCCTCTCTGGGAAGAGGAGAACATGTCACCAATTTCACTGACCCTTGCCTTCCACCCCCCAGGAGAGAAAGGCAGCAGGATGTGGTTACCCAGCAGGAAGCAGTGACCTTTAGATTTGACAGGAGCCGTCAGTGCCGGAAAGAATCTGCCTGCTCCAAAAGCCTGCATTCAGAGGCGTTCAGCAAGCATTTGCCAGCTGCCTCCCAGCACCCGGCCTAGCGTGGGTGGGGTGACGGTGATGAGACAGGACTCCTGCTCTCGAGTTCAGCCTCATACCAACCAGGTTGCCCGACCCCTGTCCTATGCTGTCCAGCAACCCCTCTTTTCTTGGGATAACAAAGACATCAATCTAGAGACTTCCTACTTACAGTTGAAACTGCAGTTAAGCTTACAGAGTGCCAAGCCTTAGTGTCATAGTCTTAATAAGACTATGAGAAAGATACTGTGACAGTGTTCCAAAAGAGGAAAACAGTTGCACAGATCAGTTAAGTCACTTTCCCAAGGTCACACAGCTAATTGGCAGAGCTAGGATTCAAACCCAGGGCAGCAGGCTCCAGAGTCCATGCTCTTAGTAGCTTCCAAGCATCAACCTAGGAAGAGGCCAGACTGGAGTGAAGGGCTTAGCTCCCTAGCTCTTCTCTCTGCCTCTGCACATACAGTCTGGCTTCAGACTCCCCCAAAAGTGACTCAGCAAACTAGCTAAAAGAAGCTTCCAGCCTTATCCATCCCAGCTTTTACCTTGCACCTCCTCAGAGCCTGCTGTGGAAGCCCAATCCCGAGTCCCACCTCTCTATTCACAAACCCCTCTCTT